AAAAAAATTTACTCGACTGGGCACTTGGTAAAAAATATTATACTGAAAAAAAATGTACTCGACTGGGCACTTGGTAAAAAATATTATACTGAAAAAAAATTTACTGGGACTGGGCACTTGGTAAAAAATATTATACTGAAAAAAATTTACTCGACTGGGCACTGGAAAAAAATTATTACTGAAAAAATTTACTCGACTGGGCACTTGGTAAAAAATATTATACTGAAAAAAAATTTACTCGACTGGGCACTTGGAAAAAATATTATACTGAAAAAAATTTACTCGACGGGCACTTGGTTAAAAAATATTATACTGAAAAAAAATTTACCGACTGGGCACTTGGTAAAAAAATATTATACTGAAAAAAATTTACTCGACTGGGCACTTGGTAAAAAATATTATACTGAAAAAAATTTACTCGACTGGGCACTTGGTAAAAAATATTATACTGAAAAAAATTTACTCGACTGGGCACTTGGTAAAAAATATTATACTGAAAAAAATTTACTCGACTGGGCACGGTTTAAAAAAATATTATACTGAAAAAAAAGTTTACTCGACTGGGCACTTGGTAAAAATATTATACTGAAAAAAATTTACTCGACTGGGCACTTGGTAAAAAATATATACTGAAAAAAAATTTACTCGACTGGGCACTTGGTAAAAAAATATATACTGAAAAAAAATTTACTCGACTGGGCACTTGGTAAAAAAATTATACTGAAAAAAAATTTACTCGACTGGGCACTTGGTAAAAAATATTATACTGAAAAAAATTTACTCGACTGGGCACTTGGTAAAAAATATTATACTGAAAAAAATTTACTCGACTGGGCACTTGGTAAAAAATATTATCAAAACGATTGAAAATTTCGTAAATGTGCCGGAGGGTTTACGAAGCAATGCATAATGTATTGCAAATTGTCGTAGATGTGCTACGGGATTTAAGTACGAAATGCCAAAGATAAGTAGAAGAATTGTTTGTTGCATATTACAATTATAACAATTAATGCAAGCTAAAGAAAGTATAGTTGCATACATATTATTTAAAAACGCAATACTTAAAGGCGTGAATAACATATAAAGTATAGGCAATGATAGGCAAAATATACCAAAGTATTGCAAGAAAGCTCATATATATTAGTGCCAGATGTCATATAAAGCAGCAGTGTAATATGTAGCAGGTATAATGTATGCTATATGTATGCTATATGTATATATATATATATATATATATATATATATATATATATATATATATATATATATATATATATATATATATATATATATATATATCACCCATAGGCACCATCACTTTCCAGCGTGAAAACACTTCCGCAACAAGGGTCCCAGACCAGGTTCACCTACTAATATATATATTTTGTTTCGGTTGAGATTAGCTCAGTGGGTAGCAGCTCAGCTCTTGAATTCGACAAAAGAAACCTGTGTCGGGTTCAAGTCCCGGTCAGGGCAAAAAAAAATAAAAACACAATTATTGATCAAAATATTTCTATAGTAAAACTTGCCTTGATCGGGAACCCACTAATATATATATTTGTGGCAAGGCCTTCTAGAAATCTAGGGGGCCTTGCTTTCAGCATCAATAAGACATATCCGTTCACAGATGGCTCCAGGAATTTAGTAGACAGCTTCACAATTGTAACTTTTAGCAATTATTCGAACCTGTAAATCACAAGCGCCATCTGCATTCAAATAATTACAAATTTTTAACAATTATTCGAACCGGTAATTTACAGACGCCATCTAGTTTCAGGTTATTACAACTTTTAGCAATTATTCAAACCAGTAAATCGCACGCGTCATCTATACTCAAATAATTACAACTTTTAGCAATTATTCGAACAAGCAATTCTAGAGGCGTTATCTACATTTAAAAATTACAACTTTTAGCATTTATTCGAACTAATAATATCCTAGCGCCACCTATGTACCAATAGATTTCACTACTTTTAACATTTATTCAAACCGGTAATTCACAGTGTCATCTACAGTCAAATTAATACAACTTTTAGCAATTATTTAAACCAGTAATTCACAGGGATTATCTACATTCAAATACATATTACTACTTTTAATTATTCGAATCAATAGTTTATCAAATTTTATCTGTGATAATCTTCATTGATTGAATAATAATAGGCATTTATTTAAATTGAAAAATAAACAGTGCTTGCTCAAAACTTCTTAACAGACAACCAAACTTATTTAATAGTACATTTGAAATATTATATTCCATGAAATACCTTTTCCAATGGTTAAAAAAGAGGCGCAGGATGAACTGTATATCTGGAAGGCGTTACTCACTGCAAGGAATTTGCATCATCGCAATTGTGCTATTAAACCGTAACAGTGAAGTCCATGGCTGTATTGTCATCACTTTCAACTGGAATATAAAATAAATTGCATTAAATTTTGTATCATATATGTAGTACTACTCATGTGGTTTTTCTCCTCCATCCATTGTCTATTTCGAAACCTTCACTGTAAAAAAAAATTGAATTTAAGAACTTCATAATAATAATAATAAAAAAAATATATACTGTTTTATTTTGAATAAAATATTGAATTTAATTGTTGTACCTATCAAGAAGCACGAGAGCCTTCCATTTATTTTGAGAGTTGACCAAGAATTGCAGTAGCAGCCAGCTGCAGCATATTTCATAGCTAATGATGTTTTTCTAATATTCTTTGTTTTGCATTGCCGGTATTCTCTGTAAAAAAAAAATTATTACATTAATTACTCAAATTTATATAAAAAATTACCGACAAATTTTTTAAATCATTTATATTATTTGACTGCAATACTCGAGTAAATTAAATTTGTAATATAAATTCATCACTGATGAAATTTTTAAATATTATCAAGCAGTTTAACAATAACTTACCTATATTTGATTCAAAGTCTTTGATTAGGTAGCCATTTACTAGTAATTCTAGGATTTGAAATCATGCATCCTCTGATTCGCCTGGTTTTCTTCCAACAGTTCTCGTCTTGACGTGTTTAGTTATTCAAGCCAATCCATTTGCACCAAATGCACCAAAGGTATATTGTATTGTTCGAGTGAGGATTATTTCTGAAATAAAATAAATTCATTGAACTATTGTTATTTAAAGAGTAGAGTACATGAATTATTTTAAATATTCGAGCTAAACATACCAAATTTAATAAAAGCAGCAGCCTCTTTGAAATCCTACGGTAAGAATACATTGGTTCCATTCTTTGAAATGGTTCTCTTCAGTTAGGGCCCACGATTGCTTGTCACGTTATTTTCTTCAGGAATGCACATATTCCCCAATATGCATGTCGACAAGTCCACATTGTTTGATTCACTGTACGATTTGTAGAGCATCACCCTTGTTATTTCTTTCAAGAATGCACATGTTCTACAATATGTATATCGGCAAGTCCATATTGTTTCATTCACTGTAGGAATTGCAGAGCATCCTTGTTATTTCCTTCAAGAATGCACATATTCCACAATATGTATGTCGGCGAGTCCATAATGCAACATCTTACTTCATACTTTAAATACAATGATCTCTTTCAATTAATTTGTATTACTTTTACGAATTTGTTTATAGATTTTTATACTTGTATATTTTATTACCATATGAAAAATCTCTCTATGAATTTAACATTATTTAATCGTAATTTCTTGAACAAATAAAAAAAAGTATTATTTACTCAAAATTTTTGTAAAAGCATTCAAATTCTTTCACATTTTTTAATTATTGCATTAAATTAAATACCTTAAAACTTAATTGAGAGTAATATTCAAGCATTTAAAAAATAAATCTCTTGTATGTATATTTCAATTATTTCATTTTATTAATTACCTTTTATCCTCACTGACAACACAAAGGCTGCAGGCAGCAAAGAGTTTAATAAACAGATCCCCGATTAAGTCCTGATACACTTGCCCTTTGCATAGTGATCGCAAACGACTGAAAAATAAAATAAATTGCATTTAATTCAATAGTTCATATTTAGATTAAATAATACTTAGTAGCAAAAACATTGTTTCATCAAGGATTACAAAATTTACGATTGATCATTCATTCAGATCTCAAATTTACAAAATTTAGTAGTTGCTGAACAATTTCCATTCATTTATGATATGCAATGCCAAATTATAATAAAAAATTTCTATATTTTACTTTCCAAATACTAAAATATTTCAATAGTATTAATTGTAAATTATTTCATCACACACCTTATGGTCACTATTGCTGCCATGTAGAGATAATGTTCCTTCTAAAGCTCTGCCGTAGACAATGTCATTTTCGAATTCATTTGTCTTCCCTGAAATAAATTAATTGTTCATTAATTTTACATTTTCTAATGATTATATTAAAAACCATTCATTTCAGTAACTTAATAAATAAATTTAAGTTCGAAATAAAATCTTGAAAATAAATGTAGAAATAAACATTTTTTTATTTAATTGCAATAACAATTGTACGTATACAGTTACATTTAGACACTAAATATTAACAATATTTTATTTAAAGTATCATTGCAATTTATATGAAAAATCACTCGTATTTTCTTTTCTTATAATTTATTGTCAATTTTTATACTCATGTGTGTAATTATAACTATTTTATAATTACTAACCTGATTAGGCCCTTGGCAGAGCACGATGATGTTCAAACACTTTCCATCTTTACTAAATTCCATTGTCTATTTCGAAACCTTCACTATAAAAGAAAATTGAATTTAAGAACTTCATAATAATAATAATAAAAAAAAATATAAACTGTTTTATTTTGAATAAAATATTGAATTTAACTGTTGTACCTATCAAGAAGCACGAGAGCCTTCCATTTATTTTGAGAGTTGACCAAGAATTTGATGAAACTAAACTGGTGATTCAAATATGTACCAGTAGCAAAATAATTTTAAGAATCTAAGAGCTGTGTTATTAAGAAATCGTAATTTTTGGCATATTGAAAAAATCCTAACCACTGACCCATTGCCGCCCCATTTGTCTTGCAAAATATATTAAGCAATGCAGTCATACTTTAAACTAATATTTGAAAGTGTAAATGGATGGATGATTTCAAATGATTCAGAAAATTCTAGTGATATATAAATCAAAATGTACTCGGAAGCCGCAGTAGTTGCGGCCACGCAATTAATTCATTTTGCATAATGAAAAGCCAAAATGATCAAAACTGAAAATAAAACTACAAGTTCTCGTATTACGGAAATTCCGTATCGGTACCCACAAAATCAACTCGAAAACCTTGAAATTAATACAAGAAATATGTATCACTGACCTTTTCTCCTGTAAACGGTGCTGCACCAGTTCCAATTTCTCATGTAAGTTAGACTTGATAAGGGCACAATTACAAACACTTGAAATTAATAGGTATAAAATTATCGCACTATTAAACTGAATTCAATTCGTAACCATATTGAACTTATGCAACATGTCGGTCGGCTACGTCCATTTCGCCGAGACCCTTCTAGCCGTACACCGTACACCACGGCAGTCGAAAACGAAATGATATCCTCTCGCAATGGCAGGCCGATTCGAGTGGTGGGGAGAGCAACTAGGTGATAGGTGATGGGCGTGGCCTGCGCCTGCGACATATCTTTGTCCTTGTCCTGCGCAGTAATCCTATGCGTGGAATAGAGTGCGAAATAGTACTCGAACGCACTCGCACATGACATTGTTGTCCTTCTCTGTATTGCATAATGGCCGATCGGCTTCCGAAAGAACCTGCGCCATTATCATGTTGTTTGAGCTTCTGTCTGTCGGCAAACTGCAACGTAAAATCATATTATAATTATTTTTATATTTCAATCGACATATAAAGGAACTCTTTTTCTGTAGAATTTATGATAAAAGTTTATGTAAATAATAACACAACCGTTCATGCAGAAGGATAAAAACAGACTGACTGATTCTTTATGATACTGATATATTCTTTAACTAATCACTTTGAATCGTTTATGAATTTTTAATTATTTTGGACATAATATAAAAAGACGGAATGTGCAGGACATTCTCTGATGCCATTCTTGCTTTAAAACTCCGTTTTGTTGAAATCCAAAATGTACCTATTTCGCATAAAAAGAAGTTTGCAAACTACAATTATTTTATTATTGGTTTTCCATTGTAATTGTTCACACCAAAATCACAGCATCCGATATATTGATATAGAAAGAAATCAAATATCTAAATAAAAAATTATTATAAAATAAAATCAATCAATACAAAAATTAAACTTTGAAAACATTGTAAATACAAATATAATTTGTAGTTGTAATAAAAACTAGTTGGTATTGGTATTTTGCCTTGAGGCAAGTTACATGAACTTTCTGATATGTGTAAATAATCGACTATATAAATTAATTTATGAGCGATTAAACGTATTCCGAGTAGATTTATTACACATAATTGAAAACGAACAAACACGTTAACTCGAGTATTTTCTAAAAGCAAATTTTCAAAAATTAATAACTTTTATAATTGAACCAGTTTCGGTAGGACTTAATGGTTTAGATGTACATTGAGATCAAGTACTCTAGCGTTATACCAAGTAAATCGTCTAATTTTAATTTTAACGAACGTCAAAAAAACTACTCATTTTCTCAAACTTTGATGAATTTTTAAAATTCAACTACTAGTAAGGCCATAATAATTCAGTAAGATCCATAAGACCATAGTATATATCGCCCAAAAAAGTTCCATAAAAATCGGCGTAATATTTTTTTCAACGGTTAATTACAAGGAAACGGCTCGGTAGATTTTCACCAAAAACTAATCAGTATCATTCCCAACTAATATCTTTCGAACAGTTTTTTTTTTAATCGATTCGGTAGAATGAGCTTAAATGTGGACGAAAATTTTAACACTTTTTTTCAAATTACAAAGAAACGGTTTGGCAGATCGTCTCACAAAACTGACCAACTATAGTGCTCATTGAGATACATCGAATGACTTAAATTTCTAAAATCGGTTCAGGCGCTTTTAAGCAAACGTCGATTAAATGCCAAAAAAACGATACCAATTTTTGCAAACTTTGACGTATTTTTAAAGTTAAACCGATAGTGTCGTAGGGCCGTAATATTTTAGTATGATCTAGAAGACGATGGTATGTACCGCAAAAAAAAAATTATAAAAATCGTCGAATTTTTTTTTTCAAACTTTATTATAAGAAAACGGCCCGGCCGATCTATACCAAAAACTAATCAGCACGATTCCCAACCAATACCTACGAACGGTTTTTGAATTTTCAAAATCGATTCAGAATTGCGGGCTAAACGTGGACGAAAAAGTTTTCACTTTTCTGCGATTTACAAAGAAGCGGCCTGGCCGATCGTCGCACAAAACTCATAAACCCTAAGTCGCCATCGAGATACATCGAATGGCTTTTAAATTTTGGAAATCGGTCCAGCCGTTTTTGAGAAAACGTTGATTTACGGCAAAAAAATTGTTCACACACACATATACTTTTTCCAAATGTTAGTCTCATTCGATTCAGAATGGCTTGAAACGTCGAGAAAACATAAAATTAGCAAATCGGATCTTTTGATGAAAACATAAACTTCTCCTTCGGGAAGATAACACATAATTAATATTACAAATAAAGTGTTTTACAACAAATCATTGGTCCTTCGAAAAATCAATCAAACCTAACAAATAGTAATATTCTACTACTATCGACGCCACATCTATAGTTTAAAAAAAAAATTGTTAAGAATTAGAAAGGTATTGGCATAAATTTGGAAATTTCAAATTAGACGCAAATAGTGTAGTTAGTAGGAAAATGATTTATCAATCATGAATTTTTTAAAACTCGTCAGAGGAAGGTAATACGCTACTTTGACAAGATTTGCAAATTCATATTCAGGATATTGAAAGTTTGTTCAAAGTGAATATATTTTATCGAGTAATCGACATTATTATTAAACAAATTAAAACGCGATTCTTCCGATGAATTAACATGTTTCAAATTTCAGTATGTTGCTACAATAGAAGTTTTCAATGATACTGATCTATTAAATAAAAGCTCTAAAATTTGTTTAGATAAAAAAGACATTAGAAATTCAGAATAAACAAATTTTAAAATCATTATTAATAGATCAGTACCATAAAAAAAACTTTTGTTCAGATTCTGAACCATTTGCCAGGGAAGTTTAGTTTGCGATCAACTTTTAGAGGCGGAATACGAAATACCTACTTCGGTAAGAAAAGATTTCATTTACTAAATAGCTTATTGAAGTTAACATTTTATTTTTAGTTCAAAACAAAATATATACATGGTTCATGCTATTGTTTCCTAATAAGCTAGACGACAAATGGTTTCATCTTCGTTATAAAAATCGTCTAAAAAGTATTGAAACGGATTGGAAAATAATAATCTAGAAATCAATGATCAAATATATGATGAGAAAATATATGTTAAATCACAAAATATTTATTGTTAAAACATTTTAATTGCCCGAGGTTTTTCTCGGACTACGGTAATAAATTGCAAGTAATTAAAAACTATGTTGGAACTGATTAAAAATGCAGAATCATTGAAATCCATTAAATAACATTAAAATTATGAATATTGCAAAATCTTAATGAAAACAAAAATTATTTAAATTATTTCAGGTAGATAATAATATACATTCGAGGAATTGATTATTTTTATGGCTATAATTTGTAATTAACTATTTTATTCGCTGATAAAATAATTGACGAATAAATTGTCAAGTATGATATAAAGAAATTGTTAAATTATGAAATTTTCATTATTAAGTCATATTGTTTAGGTCGGAATATAAAAATTAATTTGATAAAATATTTTTAAAATTAAATTACCTGCATGTTTTTTAATAGCAAAAGTAAATCGACTGTCAAATAATTGAAAATAGTAGCCATTTTATAAAGTAAATTTCATAAAAACTGATTTTATTTTCAAATTTATCAATCGAATCACATCACTGCTAATGATATGTATTTTAGCATGATCAGATGTTTCGTAAAATTGTTCAATAAAGTAATTTTTATAACAATACTAAAAATTCAACTACTTTCATATAAAAATTGATAAATAAGATAATTTTTAAGGCAAAATTAAATTTGTTCGTCATGAATCATCATCGTCGAAACATGAAACATTTTAATTAACGATTTGATTGCTCGCAAATGATAAGTTCCATCAATTAATCATATATACATTCATATATTTAATTCAATAATTACTACAAATATACACAAATAATTAACGTGCATTTAATAAAGAATAAACATTGCATAAAGTGCGATGTATTGCAAACGGACTGTAAATGTTGAATTGAATATGTATGAATCTATAAATTCGGACAGATTATTATCTACAGATATGGAATTATGTAACATTCCAATTATTCTGCATTTAAAGTGAAGTTTTGTAAAACAAATTGTTGCGAATGCATTTATAGATCTTTATCAGACAAAAGTAAACTAGAGGTGTATGGCATCGTGCCTTAAAGCAAATTGCTGGAACTTCCCGTACCGTAATGAAACGTACCGTAATTAAACGTTTTCAAATATATTATCACAAATAATGCAACTTTCATTATTTTTGCTATCTTGTCATATCTGAGCAATCAAAATCAAATGTGAACCATAAATCAATTTATCTCCAGACCATTAACAATCGTTCGTCATTTCATTTCACTGAACTGTCATTTTTTTAACATTTAGCTTTGTATCTCCGAAACCGCTGGGCCTACCTTTGCCAAAAACTAATAACCACTTTTCCCCGTCATCACGAACTGAATGTTTTTTGGATCATACAAATTGGATGATCAGTTCTCTCAAAAACTCGATTTCTATTTTCTGCACTCTTTACTCCATATCTCCGTAACGGCTTGACCTGCCTTTGCCAAAAACTAATCAGCACATCTCCCTATCAATAGAAATCGAATGTTTTTTAAACCATTCAAATCGGTTGATCCGTGCGCCCGAAAACGTGGACAAAAAAATGCGGACATACAAAACACACATCCATTAGTTTTCTGAGGTATGCCTTAAAATGTTCAGAAACCTTCAAAACGTCGAAAAATGCAAACATTTTCATTTTCGATTTTCGGCCCATTACTATAACTACCCTACCAGAAGTTAATTAAATGATCAAAGTAGTTATCAAAGTCATTTAATCTAATTTTAAACGTATGTTATGAAAAACATGCATGCAAATGCGTTCTAATATAAAATTTGAAAACAATTTAATCGAAACAAATATTAATATTGGGTGTATTGTTTAATTACTAACTACTCAGTAATATTATTGTGAAATAAACAAATACTGAAAGAATAGAAAAGGCGTACAGATATTTAAAACATTTAACTAATTCATAAAAAGAAACCAATTTGCAAGAAAGTATCAAAATAAAAAGCTGAATCGCGAATTCCTTAACAAATTCATAAAAGAAAACTAATTTGTATGAAACTAACTTAATAAAAGTGTGAAAACTTTTAGAGAAATTAGGAATCATTTAAATGTAATCGAAATATGCCAATGTTATCAGCTATAAATAACATTATAAACAATAGCGTAAACATGATTAAATTGAAATAAATATGTGTTATTGGTTTCATTGCTTGAAATCAATCATATTTCCGCGAATTTGGTGTGATCGTATTATATATGAGCATGCCATTTAAATAAATATCACTTACCACAGCGCCTTACAATCATTCTTGATTAGCTGGAAGTCAGCATCCATACTACGATAATAAAAACTCCTTGGAATGTATCACAAAAATCACTTCACACACAAAACTTTAACATTGTAATAATACTATTTTCTAATAAACACTACAGCAATTGAAATTTGAACAAATATCAGTACTAAAATGTAAAGTTTGCAAGACTCCAAAGAGGTTTAAAGTATTAACATGACGCCAATTGGACAAACATCTGAAAGAAATAATTATTATTATAAATCAATATAATAAATCAAATTAATTTTTATTCACAAATACTCAATCCAAATGCATATAAATTGCCAGTAGCCTGATGTGCTGAAGAGACACAGGTTGTTCAGTGAATAAATGTACTAAATATAATGTAAAACAATAATCAAATCAATCCCAATTTCTTTAAATAATACATATTTACAAAATTTGTGAAATAAGTGTAATATTTTTAAGATCTATATGATTTTATTAACTACAACCAAATGAAACCATACAACAAAATAATAGTATAATTACCTTAACTTCAAATTTCTGATACGCTTCTCAGGATTCCAATAGTCTTCTAAATACAAATGAGTAACAATTCAATGTACTCGACTTCTAGTAAAATCTGCAAAATAGTATAATACTAATAATAGATATATAACTATCAAATTCATTTATATCAAGATTCCAAAAACTAGTATAAGTATACTTATCTCAGATTTGGCCGATCTGCTTATGAATTATCTATTGTATAATGTCCTGGACGTATAAGTTGTTCTGTAAATTAAACAAAAAATCTTATTATCAATAGTATAATTACATTAAAATAGTAATATAATATTATAAGTAACTGTATAATTACTGGTATAAAAAGAAACACATGAAGAGATTATATAAAAAATTTATTGAACACACAGAAATAATAATTTTACAGTTACTGGCCCATTTGTGCAATGTAAAGCCTACCCCCCTCCCACCCCCCAAGTAATTGAATTATTTCCCTCTGTAGGTTAATTAAGTCCACATAACAATCCCTATCTAAAATCTCGGACGCTCGGGTATTGGAGAAATTTTTGTTTCAGCCTAACATTTTGAAACATCGCATAGCTAAAAAAGGTGCACATGCTTTGCCATTAGTGACGGTGGTGAGCTTAAGTTTCTAATTCAGACTCAGGTGAATTTCTCCAAAGTATAAGTTGGTAGTACTGGTCTGCTTCTCAAACTTTTATTTGTCTGTACATTTTAACTATATCTGCAACAAAGACATGAAGATGACAGCGAAATCTAATCAAAATTGAAAATAGATCTTGTTGCAGTTTTGCACCTATGTGTAGTGTATCATTTAATGACACTCCAGAACTTGTCTTGCACGATGCATTGAAAACCACACTGATCTTTTTATAATTTCCTTTCTTTATTACTGCATGATGTTGTATAAAATACGAGTCTACCGGGACCTTATACAAATCAATACCCTCTGCATGCCCTAACCTGATATACTCTTGGATGAAATCAGAGTATGCCTTTGCTAAGTTGGGATCCCGACTGAAACGTCTTTCTAAATTTTCGAATCCGCGTTTTGCTCTGTTAAACGGTTCTCCTAAGCTGCCCCGTTTAAATGATATGAATGGTAAAGCAACCTCAAATATAATACACCGTCATTCTTTCTGACTACATTAGAGACAGAATGCTCCTCACACAACCTATCTGACCTATTCAAAGCAACATTGTTTGAAGAAACTTCTTCAAGTTGCCAGAACTTGGACAGATTATTGTGGAGGTCTTCATTGGAGATAAACCCAACATAAGCGATAACATCAGAATTTTTGTAAAAGCCAGATAATAACCATCCAAACTGACTTTTTCTTAATACCGGCAAACAATGATCTAGCCGAATGCAACCCTATTGCAATATATCAAAATACAACTCAGCACTTATTAACAACTCGACGGGTGAGGAAACATTGAACTCTGGATCAGCTAAATCTACATTATTCGGTATCTACCAATCATGGTAGTCTATAAAGCTGCTGGGTAGGTTTTGTGTAACATGATCAACCACCACACAGTAAATGGTCCGTTGATACTCGGAAAGTCTGGATCTGATTTTAATTTTTCCTGCTTGCTGACTGATACATGATTGTCCCTGCAACATGTTCATCCTACTCAGCAAAACTATTGTAGGTCATTTCAGTTTCCTTATTATAGAACTGGTAACTAAATTTATTTGAGAACCACTATCCTGTAGAGCCCTCACACAATGGGTTTTGCCATTTGCATCGAAAACATATAGAGAGACTGTGGAAAGAAAAGTTTGTATGTTATTGTAACTAGCTAAAAGAACATTGTTGCCAGAATTGAGTTGATTGGCTAGTTGATGGTGACGAAGAACTATTTTCATCATGAATTATAATGTTGTGGGGCTCTTTACATCTATAGCAAGTACCTTTAAAACTACATCTCTTAGCATCATGTGCAGGAAGTAAACAACAAGTGCACAGTGAATGCTTTAACACCAGTTCCTTGCACCCTGAAATCTCCAAGTCCTTAAACATGGAACTTTTGTACATTGGATGACTTCCCTTACTACAATAACAACACGGAGATAGTACTTTTTTCACAGTACTAACATGAACCATTTTAGAATTTCCCTGAATGGGTCTACCTTCTAATTGTGGGTCTACTTACTTGTCCTGGACAAATTCCATGCCATGCGAGTATGGCTGTCAACTTTCTTGTTCAGCATATACAACAGAATAAGATCCTAATGTTTAGTTGGTTCATATACAGCTGAAAGAGCACATATTTGTAGCCTCGCACTGCACAGAAAAGTGCTCTGAGTTTCATGTGTTCCTGTGTGTATCTGGGGTATGTTGTCAATCTGCTGCAAATCGGAATTCAGTATTAAAAATTTATTGTCATAAGTCTTACACAGCAGCTCATAGGCCATAGTGTAATACTCATTCATTAAGCTTAAAGATGATATTAGTTTTGCAGCAAACGATAGTAGAGCTCCGTTTAGAGAGTGCAACTTTTGGACTTCCAGCAACTTTGTGTTATTGTGAATTTAGAAGTTATAAAGATCTAATAAATTGGGTCCACTCAAAATAATCACCGTTGAACTTGGGTAACGTGATCTCTGGTAACTTAACATCTAATGCTGGATTTGAATCTACCGACCTAGACAGTGATGGGGTACCAATATTCGTAAGAGCATCTAAACGTGACATATGCTAAATAACATGTACATTAATTAACTTATTCTATTTGTACCTTACCTTACAAGTTACAACTGTCGTAAATACCGCTTTCACGCCACTCCGGTGCTCCAAACCCTTGTATGACAGTGTCTTGTGTTGTTATTGTATAAGTGTGTATAGTATAATTGTGCTCCAATTCTCAGATGAGCCCCAGTAACACGAATAACAGCGATGACAAACTCTGGAGCCTCGTGCGCCTAACTTCTTCTCCAATGAAATCTGCGTGCATCCACTCAATTCACCAATAATAAATATTGCTG